TTCAACAGTCAATAATGATATTCAGTGTTATTGGTGTGCTCCAGTAATTATTCTCATGAGGTGCTAGATATATACCACACACATACACTGATTATTGATGTCCTTATTCTGTGTAGAAAGTTTGAGTTGATTCTGTCATTCTGACTCCATTTTTAAAAGTTATGACCATTTTTGAAAATACCTGCATATGCTCAATACTGAATACAGTTATTAGCATTTTTAGAAAAAATTTTCAAAAGTATATAGCCACTAAGAACTCTGATACAATAATTTTGCATGTCAATATATCAATTATATAATACATGAGCATCAAGTACAGCAACTCCTTATCTTTGTGTCTCTCTTCACTAGTGGCTAGCCAGCATTTAAGTTGGTGCCTGCCTAAAATGTATTAAAACTGACCATTCCTGAATTTTTGGGATGTTAATAAGGAGCCTAGTAATTTAGTTAATTGCCAATGTGTAAATTGTGTTATTAAGTAAATTTATTTTGGTGGTATTATATTAGGTAATTAATGAAAGAAACAGATGTTAATATTGACTTTTTTTTTTATTTTTTTATTTCTTATTGTTTTATAAGATGATTGATGTTTCTCAGTGGAGAGCAAGTATTGGACTGTGGAACTACTGTCAAGCTGCCTCCAGTAGACCAGCTAATGGCCGCCACTCTCACTCATTCAAAGCTGTAGTAGATAGCAAGTCAGGCAGAGCTACATCAGGAGAGATGACATCTAAACTTCCAGCAGCTCTGTCTCTTATTGCTTTCCTCCTCCTCCTCTTTCACTCTCTTTCTTTATTAAGACACATCTTGATGATTCCTCCAACAGGTAAACAACAATTGCAACTTTGTACTTGTATATTTACTGGTATTTTATTATTAGGTAACTGCTACCAAGTACAATGTACTACTGGTGTTACTGTTACTGATACAAATTACCTCCAGTCAGTAGTCTTACCTGGAGGCAGCAGTTCTAACCTGATTCACAATGATCTTTATTTGATTGTTTGTCTACGTATGCTTCTCCTCTTATCAGGAGATGTTGAACTCAATCCTGGTCCTATGATTGATGATCAACCTGATATTTCATTATTAACTCAATGGCTTGAACCACTTGTTGACTGGAAACCATTTGGTCGTTGTTTACCAGGAATTACTTATTCAGACATTTCAATCATTGAAGTTGAAAATAAAAAAATTGATGAACAAAAGTCAGCATTGTACTCCAAATGGCTGAATGTAGCACCTACAGCAACATGGGCTGATGTGATTAATGCACTGAATAGAAGAAGAGAAAACAAACTTGTGCAAGACATCAGTAGATATTTACAAAAAAAGACACAAAGGTTACGTTATGTTACTAAATCATTACAAAAGAAGACGGTATTGTTTCACACAGCTGAAGATGAAAGGGATATAATGCATACACTAATTAGCCTCAAGAAAGAATTCCTCATTTTAATTTTATATTTACACTCAGGCCTTCAGATGAAAATTAAAAATGATCCTGAACAGTTAGCTAATCTCATAATATGGTTGGAAGCTTACATGCATTGGAACGATAAACTAACAAATGCATCATTAGATAAAACTTTCAAAATTATCCATCCTTTCTATGATTTTATTGATTGCAGTCTGATAGTGGACATGAGTGAAGTCTTTCTACAGGATTTCAAATTTGGTGTCAGCAAATTAAGCATTGTTAGTGAATTAAGAAAATATAAAAAAACTGCTGATACACTTCGTTTTTCAGCTCAAGTCAAGCATCTTAATGAATCATTAAAATCAATATATGAAGAACATATACCAGATACATCAAATATGCCAATGATTTCAATAAAGCTTCATAATCCATGGCACGGTAGCAACATCAATGGACTCTCTTTGCTGATCCACAATTTACTTCCTGTTGGATACCAGCAGTCAATAATGAAATA